AGATCTTGAGCAACTATCGGCCATAGTCATCAGTGAATAACTGCTTCATATCTGACATCACTGAACTCCACTGGTCATGGCCTCTCATAAGAGCTTTACAATGGGCATGCTCCATTTGATAGAGATATAGACAAATCATGACTGTAAAAAGTTTTCGAAAAAAATCTAAAGCTTTCCTGTGATATAGAGTATGAAATAAATTCAACATGCGGTCATCCAGTTAGTTAGTTAGTTAGTTAGTTACAACGTAGAACTTAGTACGTACGTACATCTGTGTTCAAGTTGCCATACCGCTTTGTCGATTCAAATCCCATTATAGTACAGGTAGTAGATGTAAGAGCAATAATCGGAAAGATTAGAGTTCGACGATATTATTCAGGAACCATATCTCAGTAAGGTAAATTTAGAAAGAGAAAGATACAGCTGACAAGGAATTCAGAAGATTAGGATTTGAGAAAAGACAAAGAGTGGATGCACCTGCGCCATGTCGTTCAAAGTCTCTAACAATTGGTGTCTTTCGTCTCGGGGATCCCAACCAGATAGTCTACACCTATCAACATGACTCAGTCCATTTGTCAGTGACTTCATGGATTCGTGTCATATTTTGATTTAGCTGCCCCTAGCTTTCTTCCACAAGTGGTCAGATCCTGTGGTTTGCACGATAAGAAATCAATAGTCTTTAGTAAATTGTGGCCAGTGGATAAAAATCAGAGCAAAGTTTTTGTAATTTTTTTTCTTTTATCTTCAGTTCATATTCTGACATTATAACAAATATAAAATTCACTGTCAGAAATAGTTGTCTTATCCAATTAATTCAAAAAAAAAACAGCAGGGAATTAAACAGTGCATGCCTACAGTGAATTATTGAATATTGAAAAATATTCTAAAAATTGTTAATCTTCAAAATTCAACCAATTAGTCATGGCAAATGTTTTTTTTTTGACAGAGATGAATAACTTGACTTTACAAAATACTAAACAAAGTAATTGAAACTTTAAATGATAAAATAACAGACAAGATCAATTAAGCGAAGCAAGTTATTTAGTTTAGTATGTTGTGTGATTTAGTTTAGCGCCAAATTCAAAAAAGGCATATACTGAACTTCATACAAACAAATTTGGATGATAAACAGTCGTAACAAGCAGTGCAAGATTGTTGTGGATTGATTGATTGAAGTTAGATATTAACATCGTTGGATGCTGTCTCAGTGGTCATTGGATTAGGCGTTCACACTCAAGACGGAAGGTTTTACTTTTGCGGCGCGTATGCGAGAATCATGAATGTTCATTAAACGATAAATCCTATACTAGGAGGGAATGACCGTCAAGTTTTTGTATGTTTTTGATGGTGGTCTAGCTTAGATCAGTTTGTGAAAATTTCTATTAAGTCAAATATTTTGGTACAGCGAAGAGAGGCTTTCAATTATTTACTATCATATGGTTTAATAATTTCGTTGTTGAGGATGTTAGATCTCCAGAACTCGCTTCATAAATGCCTTATTTTGGATTTCATGTTTGCAACCAGCATGGGCTGATCAGTTGACCTTGAGACCGCATTTCTCAGCAGGAAAATCCATGGCTGTGATTGGCTGCTGTGTATTTTAGTGTGCTATTTTTGTGGCTGTCTCAAACACGTTTCTAGGATGCATAAATAAACGATATTTGTGTGCTTGATTGTATTGTGATTGTTGGGTGTTTGTAGAATGCACTTTCTACGCTAATCAGAACTTCCGTTTTGCCGTTTTCGGATCAAGGCAGCCTACCTGGGCGCTGGTTAATTGTCTCGTTTACGTTTATCGACTAAGGTGAACTCGTCGTAATAACTTCAAGCATACCTAGTGACGAACTTAACAGTGGCAACGGGTATTAGATGAAATTTATGTAATCTGTATTTGTTTATAAATAAGGTTAGGCGTTCGCGCACAAGACTGAAGGCCCGGGTTCGAATCCTGCGCTGTGCAGGAGTTGCGGATGCGCTCGCCACTGATGAGTCCCATACCAGGACGAAACGGCTGTCCTGTGCTCCCAGATTTCTAATGGTGATCTAACAATGATTGATTGATGATTTCAAATGTGTAAAAATCAATATCATTTATTGTATTTTCATCTTAGAATGACACAACCCAAACGAGAATCTTAAAACAGCTCACTGTATTGAACAACTATCGATTCGAAATGTCTTAGTTTGAATACTAAAACCGATTGTGTTTAAATCGATCAAAAAAATGAGTCTGCAGATAGTTGTTGGAGAATTATGAAATATTCGTCGGACACGGTTATAAAGGTCCAGAAACACTCCAGGAAACTATCTGTCCAATCAGGGCCGAATAGAACTTTCACGGAAACATTTGAAAAGGGCAGAACCACATGCCATGACTGTGATTGGGTGTTTATTCATACCGTTAGTATATTCCCGAACCTTCTAGAAGCCAAAGGTCATGAATAACCCTATAAACACCCATTTTTTCTCTGCACATAAACCAACCTTGGAGTCAAGTACTTTTTCGTACTTCGTAGCTTTCCTCTTGTGTTCAAGTAACTTGAGCACTATGAGAAGCGGCTAGAAAACTATATCTTGCATTCATTCAGTGGTTTCCTCAGGGAAATCTTGACTCCTAACAAGGTGTTACGCCTGCACGTAAGCACGTCAGCTTACGACACGACATGCTACTCAAATCCGATTATCCCAACCCCCTTATTGAGTAAAATAAGAAGACTTGATGTGAAGTAGAACCTGTATTCTACAAACATACGGAAAGTAGGAGGTCCGAGTCCAAAAGAGAATCAGGATCCCGGACTAGAGATCCGGGACCGGGTCCTGGACCAGGAAAAGGAACATTTAAGTAGCACGAAATACCGCCCTATAATCTTGTACGTCTTAAGCGGCTACAAATTGAATGAGTGGTCTTTAGTAAGCACCTGATAGATGTAACAGTATCTGAACAGTTTAAAACGGTTTCTGCTATGTATACAGAATACAGAACAACTGAATATTTCCACATGTTACCTACTATCCTCTATTTACTAGAAGCCTTAACTATCTTCTCATCAATCTGAACTATCTTTTAAAATACATAAAACAACTTATCCGACACCGAAACGAGAGACGATAAGAGGAAACGAAAAAAAAGGTTAGTCGTGAAGATAAGAGAGTAATTAAGAAGTGTAGAAAGGATTTGATTGGTCTACTGTATTGTTACAGGTATGGGGCTACCCACACTGTGGAAAGGTATTTCTTGAAGAACTTGAGAAGGAATCTAGGTTAGTGCTGGTCTTAGTGGCCTGGCAGCGTGACTGCAGAATCCAAGGGAACAAACACTGATTGAGGCATGTCAGGTATGGTCTTTTTTATGCAAAGTTTTCAACGCTTTAGCTTCGCTCTTCAAATGGCTTCCGATCTGGAATAAGTTGAGGTGTGACATTTTTAGAATCGACCTTTTCTAACCCTTTCCTTCCGTTACGAGAAGGCCACATCACTTCAGATGCTGGTTTCCCGAAGGAAACACCTTACCACTGTCATGCCCCTCTATTGCCTACATACAATACAAATTTGTCCTTACACTAAAAACGCACAATCTTAATGAAACATCTGACATTACGAATCTGAAATTATTTCTCCTTCATATTATTTAGTTGACGCACACACTCTAACAAATTTGACATTCACATGGTCAAATTTCTTAGTATATTCAAAAGCAATTTGAATTATTAAGTCTCGTTTACACAATATCTAAATTAGTTAATGTCAACTTGAGTAAAAAAAATACTTATTTATTCATTGACGTAGGGTCTGAGATTATGTCATAAAAACGTCAGAAATTCAACTTTCTACTACTATTCAGAATTAGAATATTACAAATATACCACCATTATGATTGTGTTTTTTTTTGCTCGATAAAAACTCTCTGTCAAGTTTTAAATTTGTTTAGAATCATCATCAATGCAACTATTGACAATCATTGATAATTAAATGAACATTGAATATGATTTTTACAACCAGTGAATACCAACCAATCCATGATGTCGGATCGTGTTGGAGATGTTAGATCCCCAAAAAACTCGCTTCATAAAAAATGCCTTATTTTGGATTTCACGTTTGCAGCCAGCATGGGTTGATCAGTTGACCGTGGGGTTTCATTTCTTACGAGGAAAATCCATGGCTGTAATTGATTGCTGTGTATTTTAGTGTACGAGTGGTCAGAAGAGTTGGGCGAGTTATGTAAGAAGTAGAGGTAGGAGGTGATAAATGTTCACGCCATCGAAGTCAGATATGCAAACGGCTAGCCCCAGATCGCCCATCAAGAGCAGAAGGACTTCCTCTTTGACATGTTGTTTGATACCTTGAGTCTACCGGCAGGCCCCGCCACAAGAAGAAACTCAGCAGCAAGGTGTTCTTCGTTCCCGAAGATATCCTCTCAGACGGTGGCGAACGACAGTCATGATGCAAGTCGACCCCAGGAGCACGCGCTACTAAAAAGGAGAGGAGTGTTGGGGATGTTCGATCCCCAAAACTCGCTTCTTAAATGCCTTATTTTGGATTTCACGTTTGCGACCTTGACCTTGAGATTTCATTTCTCACCAGCAAAATCCATGGTTGTGATTGGCTGCTGTGTATTTTAGTGGCTGTTTTGTGACTGACTGTCCCAAGGACGTTTCTATGATGTATAAATAAACGAGAGTTGTGTGTGCTTGATTGTATTGTGTGATTGCTGGGTGTTTGTAGAATATACTTTCTACGCTTACAAAGCCTTCTTACTTTAGTTTGGGATTCAAGGTAGCCTATCTGGACGCTGGTTCATTGTCTCGTTCGCGTTTATCGACTAAGGTGAACTCATCGTAATAGCTTCAAGCGTACTACCTAGTGACGAATATATATTAGATCGAATGCCAATGGTGGTAAGGAATATTTGTGACTAAAAAAAGTGTTCAACTGTTCATGACACTTGATTGACTAACAGAATTAAACTGCTATTTTTAAAAAAAATTACATCTCCTACTTACCACAAGCAGCTTCATGTATACTATTGAATTGGCATTCTTTTTTCGCCTGATTTTCAATGATTTCTTCTTTCTGATCCATAGGATTTTCATCATTTGAATTATTGGAGTTGTGAAGGAATTGTTGACAGCATTCCAATAAATTTACATAAACTAACCAAGGTAACTGATGCATTAATTCATTATCTAAATTACGATAAGCTGCTTCAGCATGTATAAACATTACGTACAGATTGATGATTTTCTGCAATCAGTAGTATATTGGACTTTTCAATCGGTAAACGATTATCATCATCAAGGGCTCCATGATCATGTAACCAATGAGAAATCTGTTGATTAAAAAAATTTGAACAAAATTACTTTCAAGTAATAAACAGCTATTAACCATAACTCTATAATAAAAAATCATTCAATGTGATCACTAGTGAGTAGAGCTTAGTGATGAAATCCCCGGAGTTTTTACTTACTTACTTACTTACTTACGCCTGTTACCCCCAATTGAGCATAGGCCGCTCACCAGTCTCCTCCAACCAACTCTGTCCTGGGCCTCCCTTTCCAGTTCTGTCCCATTTTTGTTCATTCTTGTCATATCTTTCTCTATTTCTCGACGTAATGCGCTGCTTGGCCTTCCTCTTTTCCTTTTATCTTGAGGGTTCCATATAAGGGCTTTTCTCGTGACGCAGTTAGGTGCTTTTCGTAGTGTGTGTCCTATCCACTTCCACCACTTCTTCCTGATTTCCTCATCCACTGGAATCTGGTTTGTTCTCTCCCACAGTTCGTTGTTGCTGATCGTGTCTGGCCAACGAATACGAAGTATTTTGCGTAGACAACTGTTCATAAACACTTGTATCTTCTGGATGATGGCTTTCGTAGTTCTCCAAGTTTCCGCTCCATACAGTAGTAACTGTTTTGACATTTGTATTGAAAATCCTAATTTTGATTTTGGTTGAAAACTGTTTGGAGTTCCAGATATTTTTCAACTGTAGAAATGCATCCCTCACTTTGCCAATCCATGCCCTCACATCTCCATCCGATCCACCTTTCTCGTCGATGATGCTGCCCAGATATGTAAAGGTGTTAACGTCCTACAAGGCGTCTGCATCAAGAGTGATTTGTTTGGTGCATGTTGTGTTGTATCGTAGAATCTTGCTTTTTCCTTTATGTATGTTGAGACCTACTGCTGCAGAGGCTGCTGCTACACTGGTCGTCTTCTCTTGCATTTGTTGTTGGGTGTGCGATAGAAGAGCCCCAGAGTTCGAGTGAGAAGATATGAACAGTGCAGTTCAATCATGTAGGGATGTAGGCAGTAACTACCGGAGACAAATGGGTGAGGTCGCGTCAAAATCCCTAGATTGATCAGAATGAGACATTAACACCACGGGATGCTGGCCCAGTGTTAGACCGAAGATCCTGAGTTCGGTTCCTGTGAGTAGCAGCAGTTGTGAATGGATACCGCTCAGGAGTGCCATGCTAGGACGACACAGCCGACCAGTGCTTTTTTGTTTCTACTAATGGTCTAACAATCATTGATTCATAATTTTTAGCAATAAATAACAGTCTGCAAAACTCTATCATGAAAAAGTTTACTCTTATTTTATAAACCAGTGTGATTGAGTACACAATAGGTTGTTATTGATAACAACCTATTGTGTACTCAATCACACTGGTTTATAAAATAAGAGTAAACTTTTTCATGATAGAGTTTTGCAGACTGTTATTTATTGCTAAAATTATGAATCAATGATTGTTAGACCATTAGTAGAAACAAAAAAGCACTGGTCGGCTGTGTCGTCCTAGCATGGCACTCCTGAGCGGTATCCATTCACAACTGCTGCTACTCACAGGAACCGAACTCAGGATCTTCGGTCTAACACTGGGCCAGCATCCCGTGGTGTTAATGTCTAATTCTGATCAATCTAGGGATTTTGACGCGACCTCACCCATTTGTCTCCGGTAGTTACTGCCTACATCCCTACATGATTGAACTGCACTGTTCATATCTTCTCACTCGAACTCTGGGGCTCTTCTATCACACACGCGAAAACAAATGCAAGAGAAGACGACCAGTGTAGCAGCAGCCTCAGCAGCAGTATGACTGAGCATACATAAAGGAAAAAGCAAAATTCTATGATACAACACAACATGCACCAAACAAATCACTCTTGATGGAGATGTTTTGGAGGACTTTAGCACCTTTACATATTTGGGCAGCATTATCGACGAGAAAGGTGGATCCGATGAAGATGTGAGGGCACGGATTGGCAAAGCAAGGGTTGCATTTCTACAATTGAAAAATATCTGGAACTCTAAACAACTTTCAACCAAAATCAAAATCAGGATTTTCAATACAAATGTCAAGACAGTTCTACTGTATGGAGCGGAAACTTGGAGAACTACGAAAGGCATCATCCAGAAGATACAAGTGTTTATGAACAGTTGTCTACGCAAAATACTTCGTATTCGTTGGCCAGACACGATCAGCAACAACGAACTGTGGGAGAGAACAAACCAGATTCCAGTGGATGAGGAAATGAGGAAGAAGTGGTGGAAGTGGATAGGACACACACTACGAAAAGCACCTAACTGCGTCACGAGATAAGCCCTTACATAGAACCATCAAGGCAAAAGGAAAAGAGGAAGGCCCAAGCAACACATTACGTCGAGAAATAGAGAAAGATATGAAAAGAATAAATAAAAATCGGACAGAACTGTAAAGGGAGGCCCAGGACAGAGTTGGTTGGAGGAAACTGGTGAGCGGCCTATGCTCTATTGGGGTAACAGGCGTAAGTAAGTAAGTAAGTAAGTAAAAACTCCGGGGATTTCATCACTAAGCTCTACTCACTAGTGATCACATTGAATGATTTTTTATTATAGAGTTATGGTTAATAGCTGTTTATTACTTGAAAGTAATTTTGTTCAAATTTTTTTAATCAACAGATTTCTCATTGGTTACATGATCATGGAGCCCTTGATGATGATAATCGTTTACCGATTGAAAAGTCCAATATACTACTGATTGCAGAAAATCATCAATCTGTACGTAATGTTATACATGCTGAAGCAGCTTATCGTAATTTAGATAATGAATTAATGCATCAGTTACCTTGGTTAGTTTATGTAAATTTATTGGAATGCTGTCAACAATTCCTTCACAACTCCAATAATTCAAATGATGAAAATCCTATGGATCAGAAAGAAGAAATCATTGAAAATCAGGCGAAAAAAGAATGCCAATTCAATAGTATACATGAAGCTGCTTGTGGTAAGTAGGAGATGTAATTTTTTTTTAAAAATAGCAGTTTAATTCTGTTAGTCAATCAAGTGTCATGAACAGTTGAACACTTTTTTTAGTCACAAATATTCCTTACCACCATTGGCATTCGATCTAATATATATTCGTCACTAGGTAAGCTTGAAGCTATTACGATGAGTTCACCTTAGTCGATAAACGCGAACGAGACAATGAACCAGCGTCCAGATAGGCTACCTTGAATCCAAAGCTGAAGACAAAAGGCTTTGTAAGCGTAGAAAGTATATTCTACAAACACCCAGCAATCACACAATACAATCAAGCACACAACTCTCGTTTATTTATACATCATAGAAACGTCCTTGGGACAGTCAGTCACAAAAAACAGCCCACTAAAATACACAGCAGCCAATCACAACCATGGATTTTGCTGGTGAGAAATGAAATCTCAAGGTCAAGGTCGCAAACGTGAAATCCAAAATAAGGCATTTATGAAGCGAGTTCTGAGGATCTAACATCCCCAACACTCCTCTCCTTTTTAATAGCGTGTGTTCCTGGGGTCGACTTGCATCTTGACTGTCGTTCGCCGCTGTCTGAGACAATACTTACGGGAACGAAGAACACCTTGCTGCTGAGTTTCTTCTTGTGGCGGGGCTGCCGGTAGGCTGAAGGTATCAAGCAAGATGTCAAAGGGGAAGGCTTTCTGCTCTTGATGGGCGATCTGGGGCTAGCCGTCTGCGTATCTGATTTCGATGACGTGATCATTTATCACCTCTTACCTCTACTTCTTACATAACTCGCCCAACTCTTCTGATCACTCGTACACTAAAATACACAGCAATCAATTACAGCCATGGATTTTCCTCGTAAGAAATGAAACCCCACGGTCAACTGATCAACCCATGCTGG